TGCTATGAGGCATCAAATCATGGAATATGGCTGAGAAATTTTGTCACAGGGCTGCAAATTGTGAAAGACATTGAAAGACCACTTAAGTTATATTGTGACAATAAATCAGCTGTATTGTTAAGGAAAGAGTACAAAGTGGACAGATTTTCATAGAACACTTAAGGACAAACTCCATGATACCAGATCCTCTGACTAAAGGACTTCCGCCCAAGGTCTTTCATGAGCATTTTGCTCACATGGGTGTTTTACAGTTTGAGGAATTTGTGGTTTAGTGGGAGTTAGTCACTTTCATATATTTTATGTTCTATGTTTAATTTCATATATGTATACATTGTTTTCTGGACATATTTGGTTATCTATAGATATGCGGTTTTTTCGTTCATTCATTACACTTTGTACATTAAGGATATTATATCGATCTCAATAAGTTAAAGTTTGGACCAGTTGAAAATAGACGTGTACAGATCACTTTCACGTAATTTTTCATGCTACACATTTCATGATGAATCCATGTCATTTGGTTATGTTAGGATGAGTAATCATTGTTGGTTTTAGTTGCGATAATGCAATGAAAAGCTGATTTGGTTCTATATCCTGATATGATTAATGGACAAGACTTTTGGAGTATGCTAAAGGAATATAATGGCAATTTTGAGCTCATAAAGTATAACACATTTGTAAGGTTGTAAGGACATATATATTTGTGACCAGTGGGAGATTGTTGGCAAAATTTGGGTCATGTATATATATGATACATAATTTAAATGTGTTAGGGTCATTATTTATTAAGCCAAATAATAAAGTGATCTGACTAAATTAAAGTTTTGGCTAAAGACATATGTCATGAAAACAAAATTGTGTAGAGACCATTGAACAATTTCTAATTTGATGAGGGGCCAAATTGGAAATACTAAAACTTAAGTAATTAACCTAATTATGGTTATTTTAAGGGGTCGTGGTCCCCTTCTGGGAGCACATAGACAAAACGTAAGTTTCATTCCTGTTCCTTTCTTTCTATCCCCATCAAGAGAGAAAATCAAGAGGGAAATACAGGTGTTCTTCAGGTGGAAGATCATAAGATCAATACAGTGCTCTACAAAGACATCATCATTATGGCTAATTCAGGTACGCTTTCGCATTCAGTTTATAACATGATTATCAGTATGTGATTATGTTTATGTTTGATCATTAGAATCAAAATCAGGTTATTATTATTATTATTATTATTATTATTAATTTTCCAACACTTCAGCCATTGGAAGTTTGATGTACGCGATGGTTTGTACGAGATCAGACATTCGCCATGCAGTGGGAGTTGTAAGCAGATTTATGGCAAATCTAGGAAAAACTCATTGGGAAGCAATCAAATGGATTTTGAGGTATCTACGAGGCACAACAAAAAAATGTATGTACTTTGGAAAAGGAGATCTAAAATTACAGGGCTATGTAGATGCAGACTTTGGAGGTGAAGTTGATCACCGAATAAGCACCACTGATTATGTTTTCACGGTTGGAACTATAGTTGTTAGTTGGATGTCGCAGATACAAAAAATTGTTGTTTTATCCACTACAGATGCTGAGTATGTAGCAGTAACAAAAGCCTGCAAAGAATTGATATGGCTTTAAGGATTGTTGGCAGAGCTGGGATTCATCCAAGAAATGAGTGTTTTGCATAGTGATAGTTAGAGTACAATACATCTAGCAAAGAATTATGCATTTTACTCTAGAACTAAGCACATTGGCATACATTATAATTTCATCATATCTCTGCTTGAGGATGAGGTGCTAACATTAAAAAAGATTGTGGGAAGCAAGAACCCAACATATATGCTAACGAAGGTGGTGACCATTGACAAACTAAAGTTGTGTTCAACTTCAATTGACCTACTAGAATAACATATCAGAGAAGACTACTGCATTAATCAAAGTGTGAGGATAGATTGAAATCAGTCCTCAAGTGGGAGATTATTGAAAAGCCATGAAACGAGCTACCAACACAAAAGCGAGAATGGAAAGGTGGAAAAGAAAAAAGTCATGAAATATGGAGCATGTTTCGTTCCTTAATTTATGGAATGCATAGGAACACATCTTCTGCTATAAATTGAAGTCTTCCCTCATTCTCAAAATGAAGAAAAACATATATACAATCCAACGAGAGAGCCAACAAGAAGCAGAGAGAATAATTTTAGTTTCTGGGTGTAATTGAGTTGTGAGATGTGAGTGATTTTAAGAGATTTTTCTGTAAACACCAGTGTACTTTCCTTTCTCCTAGTAAAACATCTACAGTAGTCTGGAGACGTAGACATTTTTAATCGAATTCCATTATCAATTGGTGTATCTAATTATTCCGCTTTTATTTTACTTTCACAAAACTAACTTCATGGAAAAGTTTGTTGTTTTTCTTTAACAATTTTTTACTCTATTATCAGAATTATATGTCTTCAATATTTGTTTTTTCAATAAATATTAATGATTATTTTTTCAAACTCCTTCAAGATTAATTTTCTAATGCTGGTTAAAAAAATTAAATTACCAACTTAACTATGATTGTTTTATATTAACGTCAGTTTGGAGTTTTTTTCAATCGAGTTAAATAAAAAAAATATCGGTAATATTAAAAAAATAATAATAAATAGTCAAAACAATCATTATTTAAGTTTTGTAATTTATAAAATACTATTATCGAGATGAATTACCAATTTTATTTGTTGAATTTTACATAAAAATATCCTATATTAATTAGAAAAAAAAACATTTAACAGTTTTAAATTATTAGATATTATATTTTAAAAAATATCCATATATTTTAAAATTATTTTTTTATTTTTTTATTTTTGTAATTTAATAATATAACCTACTAAGTCATCTAATTAAAAAAAAATTAAATGTAAAAACGTGAGAATAGAATAATATATTTTTATTATTTAATATTAGTGAAAATATAATGTGTGTTTGCATTCTGTTTATAATTATTTTTTAAAATATATACTTTTTATTCTTTTTTTCTTTTTGAGAATATTTCTAGCGTAGGTACTTAAAAATAATAATTTTTATTTTAAATATATATTATACGATGTCTTTTAGGAACCCCAAATGATATAATTGAAAACATAGTCTTTTATAAGTTACGATTCATAAAAAGTTTTCTCCTACTAATTTTTTATAAGCGCCACATATTCTTATAATATATAATTTATATTTTACTTTTTTATCAACTTAAAAATAATTTAATTATTAATTAAAAATAATATTTTAACTTAAAAAGATTAATTAAAAAAATTATATATTTCTTGGCACATATAAAATATTATTATTAAATATAAATAAATTATATAATACAAATAAATAACAAAATATAACTATAAATTATTTATATACTAATTTTTGTTATTTTTATACCCAAAACATTGGCAACTATATTTCATCAACTCAAATAATAATAGAAAATTAAATTTATATTTTTAAATAAATATTATTTTTATATATTAATTTTCAATATTTTAGAATAAAAAATTTATAAGAAAATAAAAGTTTCATAATTTTAAAAATTTTGGATATGATGAATATTTAAACAAAAGTTTTTTATTTACAAAATTTTAAACAGGATTATAATAATAAAATAAATAAATAATTAATTTTTTATCATTAAAAAAATGAAAAATGAATTCTACAAGATAAAATTTGAGAGAGAGGAATTTTGAGTGAGAATATTTAGAAAATAATAATTGAGTAATTTTTTTTTAAGGAGCAACAATGCTAAAATATAAGAAATCTCTCCTACTCAAATCAACTTTAATATAATTGCTTATAAGATATTATAATTTTTGTTAAGAAACAAGTTAAACCTCTTACTATGTATTTACTTTTTTTATTTTTTTAACTTATTATAAGATATCGCTTTTTTTTATTCTCTTTCATTTTAATGTATAAATCATAATAATAATTTTTTTATATGACATTTTTATAAATCATAATCCATTATATACAAGACACTTATTTTTCTCTTTAATAATATAAAAAACAATTTTAAAAAATTATTTTATATAGAATATAAATTAATCAAAACAAAGATGCTAAGACCTTTATGTTTATGTTCCATTTTTTATATTATTAATGTTTTAAAATAATAATTTATTTATTTGTTTTTATATTTTTTAATATATATCCAAATTTTTCTTAGCAACCCGTACCTCGTTTTTGCATCTTTCTGTAAATACATAATAAATAATTTTCTTATATTATATATCTATATTTTATTAAGAACATGTCATTAAAATAATTACAAACAATCACATAGATATATAACATCATGATAATTTTTTTTATATTATTTATCCTAATTTTATCAGCAACAACATATCATAAAAAATAATTATAAACAATGACACTAATATTAATTATAGAAAAGGGAAATTTTTGTATATATAATATAAATTCATAATATCATAATAAAGATTTTTTTATATTATTTCATTTATTTTATCAGAATTATATAAAAAAATAATTATAAAAATATGGGATGATAAAAATATAAACTAAAATATTTTTTTATATTTTATGACAATTAAAATTTTCTTTATAAAAAATACGTCAATAAATTTAAAATACAACATTAAAAAAAAAATCAATTTAAATCCATTGTTTACCTAAAGAAACATAAGCATTCATTACTGGGAGAATTGTAGGGACAAACTGTAGAAAGTGCGATAACCCAGAAAATAAAATAAAATAAAATAACCAAAGAAAAAAGAAAAACCTAACCAGCATCGTAATTTCCCAATTGTGGCATAGGAATGCCCTCTTGTTTTCTCTTTCACCACACATTTGTTTGCTCACACTCCTTTCAATCGACAACTGATTACTTTTCTTCAATTTCTAGCTTGTCTGTGGTTGGTTCAAGCATTGTGGTGTTATTCTGGTTTTGGTTTCCCGAGGTTTGGTTTGGATACCGATGAATCATGTAAGAGAAGGTGTGCATGTCGACCTCGATTCCGTAGCATATGGCTGCTGCTGACAACACCAACCCTCCTAAGGTAACAAGTCACCAATTTTCAATCTTCCTTTCATGCTATTGCTCTATTTGATTCCTTGAAATATTTGAGATTAAAGTTAATTTTGAACAAATTTGTTGCTAGATTTTTTTTAATTTGAAAATTTACCCCTTTGTTTGAGTCCATTTATGTCTTCTTCCCCACCCCTTTCCTGCATTGTTTAAAGTCTGATGGCGGCGGGACCCTTTTGAGACTGAGTAAAATGAATGCCACGTGTTTGAGTAGAATGTCGTTTGGAGTTGAGTGGAGGAGAAAATATTGAATAGCTTAGCTGATTTGAATAGTGTCTGTGTTTGATTACTGTTGTAGTTACTAGTTAGGCTTCTGGCAGATTGAAGTTGTGCGTGAAATTAATCTGGAAAGTGCAGTGGAAGTAGGTTTATCTGTTAATTGATTGGTTGATACTGCTCTGGAGCATTTTATGAATCTGTATCTGATATTCTGCAACACAGTCTTCAAGATGTTTTGGTTCTTTTGCTTTCTTGAAATGAAAGTAAAATATTTTGCACTTTCATATTGGTGCTTGAAACTATCGTAATTTGACAATACCATCATCATTGCATGTAGCAAAAATGTTAAATGATGAGCTGGAAATTGTTGTGACTCCTTACTGTTTTTGTTTTTGTTTGTTCTTCATGAGTCATCTTTACTTTATTTCTAGGATTATTACAAAGTGCTGGAGGTTGATTATGATGCAACTGATGAAATTATCAAATTCAATTACCGAAGGCTCGCACTGGTTGGTAGCCTACCTTTTTAGTAGCTCCCACAATGTCGTCCTCCTCAATTTTTCAAACTGAAGATTCTTTTCTACAAGTTTGACTTACTATGCACACATGATTCTATACATTTGACAGAAATGGCATCCTGACAAACATGGAGGTGACAGTGCTGTTACTGCAAAATTTCAGGAGATAAATGAAGCTTACAATGGTAAAAAATGATCATACATTTAGTTTTCTTGTAAGCACCAAGCACATAATTTAACAACATTTAATCTCCTGTCTACCACTAGCACCCTTATCATTACTGTGCGAAATCAAATAGTATTTTAGGAAAGAATAAATCAAGAAATTTGTATATTTCCTTGTAATCTGTACAGATTTGAATAATTAGGAACAATCCCATAAATCAAGGGATCCTAGCATAAAATAGAGTTATTATATTTCCTAAAATAGCTTAGGTTTCCTGTATATATCTTATATCATCTCTTTGTATTGATATAATAAAAATTATATTTCAGTTAATCTAATTTTCCAGAATTACAGATCCTGAAAATGGAATATTTATTTTTCCATCTTCAAGACAATCACAATATACAAAAAATGTTAGAGTAAAAGCTCAAGTGTTTGCAAACCCAAAGACTGTGGTCCTTCATTAGTTTGGACATGAACTTTCACCTTGCTATGGTGGCTCTTAGTTCCACTTGTTATGATACTACTTATATACTTCATTTCACTAGTTATACCCTTTTGTATGCTGATGCCAACATAACTTTGTAAGCTTGTGAACTTAATTTGCTCCTTGTGGTGACTGGAATGTTTAGAAGAATGATGGAAATTTCATATTCACGAACATGTTGATGACAAAATTCAAACCCTAAACAAAACTGAGGAAAACCCGACTTATATTATATGCTATATATACCTCCCATATGTATACCATTTACATATGATAAATGAGAATGATATCTATGATATAATACAAATCAACTATCATCTACTTGAATTTGGGAAAATGTATTTAGATGAATGCGGAAATTTTCAGGATTGTCAACTTGTCTACTTGAACAAGCAAAGTCAAAATTGATTCTGTATTGGAAATTATGTTAAACATAATAAATAGGTCTGTAAGTGGTACTCTGTGTGAATTATTTTACTCTTAGTGCCACAATGCTTGACTTAGAGCTGTGTTTCTCCTGCATAGGGTTGTGGTGTAGAAACAGCAAGCAGCTGCAACATGATAATCACGGTTTTGTTTTTGACCATTGTCTTGTCTTTCTTTCTTATGTCACAGTGTTAAGTGATCCTGCCAAGCGTTTGGACTATGATTTAACAGGGATATGCGAGATTGAAAAATATAGCTTGCAGGTATGCCATGTAATTATCATCCAATGTTAGTAGTTATTTACTTAGATTTGTTTATGATATATAATCTTAAATGATAACTGTTTTACTTGTCTTTTGTGGGCTTTTCGCTTTTCTACACAGGAATATCTTGCCAGATTTAAAGGCATGATTCTTACCTGCAATGGACTTGGTATCAATCAAACAGACAGATGGTAATGTTACTTTCTTTTACTTTATTCCCTGTGTTTTTGTTCTCTGTGGTTCAATTGTAGAGGGGTGGGATTCACCAGCTATAATGTCTCAAATGTAACTATAACCCAGCCTGTTGCCATGAGGAATTTCAAGATGAATAAGACTAAAATCTGTTTCTGGTGAAAATTTGCATTACTGTGTACAGAACTATATAATCGGTTCTTTCCCCGCAGTCACCAGCGGCTCCAAAGTCAACAGAATCTTTTGGGGGTCAATAAAGTATGTGGGACTGTGTAATGTTATTTTTAAATGAGCTAACACAATTAACTAAAATCTGACATAGGATTCAACATAGCTGTGCTTAAGGAGTATGATAATTTTGGATGCTTCAGCTTTGTTATGTTGTGTATGATACTCAGTGATCCATGTCAATCACGAACTACCTTGAACAGTGTCATACCAGTTTCTTATTTTACAATTTTCCTAATAAGCTATATGCAAATTCATTTAAGAGAGAAAGTTAGTGTTAGAGTTGACATTTGTGGAGCCTATTCACTGTAAGCTAAAGGAATTTCCTGCTGCCCAGTTTCTGGACATTAATTATTTCTATTCAATGTCTACAATTCTGTGTCAGAAATAAACTTAATGTTCAATTCAACGGAAAACAGCATTTGGAGAATTTAGGAGACATTTTCAGTCTTCTTTTGTTGGATTCTGTCATGCCACTATGTCTTGGGTCAAAACACTTTGAAACCCAAGCTTCTTACCAATATTTTCTAACATACTAAACCCAAAATCTCTCATTCGTGATTTATTAATAAATAAGCCTTGAAACATCAATACGTTTAAATTACATTTTTTGCATGAGCTATTCACATCCTCGAAAAGCCTAATTCCGGTCCTTGATTACCTCTATTGAGGCCCCCAACTGAACATATAAAAAATTGTAAATGGACTTGTATGTCTCTGATGTCAGGTTTATTTTTTTAATCCAACTGTACTGCTACATAACCTAAATTTAATTTTTGTACTGTAATGCAGGTCAACACAATTCATTGAAAATTTTGAATCCCTAGATAAATAAGGTTTGTCCTTCGCTCTGTTGCAATTTATTTTAATTTTACTTTCTTTTTATCACTGCACCAGTACATGTCTCTATAAATTAATGGATGAACACATCTGACAGGCATCAAAATCTAAATTTCGGCCATCGGAGTTACGAACATGGATATTTGAGCGTGTCTGTCCTCTTTTATAATGGCCTAACCATTGTCTTAAATTCCACCCCATTCGATTGCACTGAGATTTGAAACCCCCACAATCGGCAATGCAACCTGGTAGGCTTGAATCATACTGTTACATTAAGCTACATCAAGTGTACGTTTAGAATGAACTGTTATGACGAACCTTTACGTCATTGTACTAGTTTTATTTCATGCCTCTTAGTTTGTTGACTAGTGGGTAAATGTTGTTTTTTTATCTGTATATTTAATCAATTTCTCCCACCTGTGAGGCTCTGTAAATTGAATTGGTATTAATCTGGGTCAGAATTCTGAACGCGTGGATTGCCATACAGTCATACATACATATCACTAAAATAAGGAGCCTAAGTGGTTGAATGGTTTTTTTATGCTATGTAATACCAGTAAGCAAAAGCGACTACCGAATATTCATATATGAAAGATGACGACGCCAACCCTTGAAAATGCAACCCCTCAAATTAAAATAAGTTTTCATATTGGAGGTGATGCCCAAGTGTCCTTGCCTTTCGTTTTTTGGGGGATTATTATATTTCTCACCACTATGTTGTTTCACCTTATACCATGCTTGGACGGATACTGGAAAAAACAAAAAAAATGCTGCGCAAGTCTCTTTAACATTTTCTTCAGTATCTTTAACGAATGACTTATTGAGATATTTAAATAAAATATTATATAAATTATTTAATTTTACAATTATATTATTAAGCAATTTGTAAAAACAAGTAAACTAAATGAGGAAAGAAAATAATTTTTTAAAAATTTATTAAAGAAAATTTTATTGAATATATTGTTTAAAAATAATGTATCATAATAAATTTATATTTTATATTTTTTAATGTAATTCTGTTATTAAAAATATTCTTATCTGTGTTGTCTTGTATTAAAACTAAGTAGTCGTTAGTTGTGTCAGTTTTAGTTTTTGTTTGAAGTGCGGTAGTACAATGACTATAGAGTGTTTTACAAATTTGTTTTTTCCATTAAGAATGTGTGGAATTATTTTGAAAATTAGAGTGACAATTCATTCCGTTCTTACAAGACCACCACATTTTGTTCTCATGGAAAAAAACATTGACCATTAGTTTTAGTTTTGGTCGTGAAGGATGGGAATCAATCTTCAAGTATTGTTCAATAATTGGGGCTCGCTGAATTATTTGCGATTGCTTAAAAACAATGAAATAGTAATCATCACTTTACCTATTGATGACATCCTCAAGATTCCATTGAAATCAATGATCCAATTTGACATATCTGTCTTTGTATATATTACATATACTGAATAAACAATTTAAGAAAATTAACTATTAGGATCCGGAGATTCACCAACTCAATTATTCCCTAGTATTTTTTTTATTGGCTAGTATCTTTTTAGATTTAAATAACCTTTTATCTTTTATAAATTTGCAGATTTTACATTTGACCCACAGTTTGCATTTTCAAACATATCTATAATAAAAATTACTAACAAAAATTATTTAAAAATAAAAATAAATATTTTATTATGAATTCTTGGCATAAATTATATTTAAAAATAAAAAAAATAAAAATTTAATTATATAAACAAATCTATCTAAATTTTAGACATAAATCCCCATAAAATATTTAAATTTATTCTTAAACACCTCTTATTACACTCTTCCGAATATTAACTGTAAGTATTAAAAACTCATTTCAGAAATTTTAGTGTAAATTTCTCACTGCAGTGTTGGCACACTATATGTTCCTCATCGAAGACAAATTAGAAGGAAAAGCGAGAATCGAGGTCCAACCACGCCCTGCAGAAACTGCTTTGATAAGGCTATAAATCAATTAGAGGTTACAGGATACGCCACACCTTCCAAAACGAATCAGCGAATCAGGATTAAACCAATTTAAAAGAACCAAGGCCTCGTACCCAAGTGAAACAACTAGTCAGCTACTGTAAAATAAGGGAGTTGGAATCACACAAAAGTTCAATCACAATAAACTTTTAAATAATATTCTCAACAACCCTTCTTCATCACCTCATACAGCTATTCAGTAATTCGCACATGGAACCCCAAGTCTTCAACTTTCAGCTTAATTTCTTAAGCCAAATCGCTTAGGAGTAAAAATTACTCCACATATTCTTAGAAGTTTGCAGCATAGAAACTTGGTTGCCACAACTAAGCATTCAAAAATAAACATAAAATTTCAGGGATGAAAATTCCTCTGTTTCTCAGAACTAAAAAACTTTCATCTATTATATTAACACCCTCTCTCACAAAATTAATATATTAGTAAATTCATGCAAGAGACACAGACCCTCGTAATCATCATCAACCATGGTAGGTAGACTAAGCAACATCCCAGTGGCATTAAAAACAATACAACAAGAAAGTGATTGAAAACAAGAATCCAATTTTCTTTGTTCTTTGCAAAACGCAAAGTGTGTATAACACAAGATGTAGATATACTAACACTTATGAAAATAAAAAGGGTAGGTTCAGAGAAATTTGCATTGATACAAGGAATATGGTCTCAATATGCAGAAGAGTAACCTAATTAACCAGAAGGCACATAATAAGACAAGGTGAAAAAACCCTTCCCGATTATTACTTTTTCTGTGTGTGGGTGGGAGATAGATAGATAGATAGATAGATAGATATAGAGAGAGAGAGAGAGAGAGAGAGAGAGAGGTTGAAACTTGTTCTAATTAGAAGAAAGGAAAAAGCGAATATGATCGAGGAAGGTCAAATTTTGAGGCCTATCCTTGCGCTTCACATAACCAATCGTCTCTTTCTGCGTGTAACACCTTAACCCTCGCTTCCCGTTCTTCTTCCAAAGCTCCATCGCGTAGTTCCCGTGCGCATAATACGCCTCCGCACACGTTAGCCCCGCCATCGTATCCCTGTCCGTTTCTTCTCCTTCCTCTTCCTCGCCCTCGCCCGCCGGAAGCACCTTGATCGGGAGACGCTCGTAGTGGGCGCGTGAGGTTCCCTCCAATTCGTCCATGCGAGCGAGGCCGCGCGTGGAGACCGAGTACAGTTCCCCGTAAACCCGACGACCCGACCCGGGAATGTTGAGAAGAAAAGGGACCCGGTATGGCCCGCATACCAGAGGGTACTTTCCGGCGGTGCGGTAGGTTCCGACGAAAGAAGCGTCGCCGGTGCGGATGAGGTCTTGAAGAAGGGGGTGGTTGGAAAATCCTCTCTTGAGGGTTCCGTAGGTGAATATTAGCGTTCTCCCTCCGTCACCGTTAACCTCTCTTTCTGCTACCATATTTTGAGGAACAGAAATCGTTGAGAGAGAGAGAGAGAAAAAGATTCAATGTGGACGATGAGTGAATTGCAACTTCCCTCATTTATAGTCCAATCTTCGTCTTTTCTCTATTTTCTTTTTCTCTACGCTTTGTTGTTTTTTTTTAATTATTTTATTTATAACATCATCTCTCAAATATCATTGATATTTTAACCAGATTTTTTTACCTTTAGAAAAAAAGAAAGAAAAAGAAAATAAAAAGTGGTAGAATTCAAACTCTAATCAAAACTTAGAGAAAAGACAATGAACAATATATTAATATTTACTCTGGATCAAATAAGTGAAAGTGAGAGTTAAAAAAAAGTGAGAATACTGAATTTTAAATTTAATAATTTTTTATTTTTATTTAGGTGTTTTTTAAAACGAGAGAATGTCATGAAAAAATTTATCATTATCAATATATCTAATATTAATTAATTTTATATTAAAATTTAATAAAATAATCCAAAAGTACTGATACTGCAAAAGTTCTAATATATTAATACATATTTATTGTATAATTTATATTCTGCATGACTTAAAAGGGTACAAGTGCATTTAAAATAAAAATGTGTCGAAGTGTATTTAAAATAATATACTAATACAGTTGAAAATAATATTTCTCAACTTGTAAAAATATTTAAGTAAAAATAAATAAATCTTGATGCTTAAATCACCTTTAGTTGACCGTCATACAACAATCATTAAAAGGTTGATTTAGAAAATAATAATAATATAATAATAATAATGTGCTGTATCTTCAATAACATCTTATCACAGACAATACATTTAACAAAGTTAAAATAATTAATTATAGTAAGATTTTGTATTTAACAAATGCAAAGTCTTAAAAAGAAGAGTATTTAATAATTATATATATATATAAGTAATTAAATATTTTGTATTAATATTTTTAATTTTGGACTGTTAATTATTGAGTCAAGATTTCATAATTTAATCAGAATTTAATTAAGTCGTATTAATATTATTTTAATAAGTAAAAATATACAAAATAATTTGAATAACACGTAACGTCAAGATTTTGTAATTACTAAAAATTTAAGTAAAATACAGATAGATCTTCATATTTAAAATAAATATATAAGTTGAAATAAAGACATGTATCCTATTTAAATTAAAATTACAGTAATACATATTAGAACAAAAAATAAAATAACTAATATTTTATATCAATTTTACTTTGTGTTGTAAAAGAGTTAAAATTATAATTTATAATATTTTGTTAAGCTAATTTTACTATATTGATGTAGTAATTCTAACCGTTTAATGTAATTTTGCTATGATGTCATTTTTTTCATTATAACTCTATTATATATAACCAGTTTTTCTTTCTATTCTTAAATATATAATATTTTAAATTTGGTTATATAAATTAATATAAGTATTCATTTTTATTATTTTTACTAAATTTATTAGTCTATCATTTTAATATTTGTTAACTAAGATATGTTTAAATCATTAACTATTTATTCTCTCCATAATAAATATAATTAAATAAAATATAATTGATAAAAGAATAATTAATATAATATTAAACTTTCTAAATGTTACATATTCAAAAACAAAATTTTTCACCTAAAACATGTTTAAAAGAGAAGAGTAAAATAATACAATAAATTAATGGATAATATAAGTAAATATAAATTTTACAAATTTAAAAATTTGTAAAATTAAATTAAATATTTTTATTTTTAATATAATATCAAAATTAATTTTGATAAAAAATGGAATCAGTGATAAATTCGTCAAAATAAAAATATGTGATAAAAAATATAATATATAAATAAATATTAATCTTATTTTTTGAATAATATTATAATATACAAAATAATATAATTTTACGTAATGAGGTTAAGGAGATAATGTCCTAATGAAATTGAAATTGAAATTGGTGAGGAGGCATAGGGTAGGTGTGCAGACCCTAACAAGGAATCATGTTGATAAAGCATTTGGTACGTGTTGGTAAAAACGTGTCATTAAATTAGCAGGCACGGCTTTTGAAGCAGGAAATGGTATGGCTGGTCAAATTAGCTTTTGGGTTTGGGTACAGAACCATACCCAAAAACAAAACTGGAAGACCCAATTACACTCGAACCGTACACGTGTGATTTTCTGTGGGACCATCCGTACCTGTACTTTTGTACATGTACCCTATGTGACAAAAATGCACGCCTCCCAAGATGCTAATGACATGGATCATGTGCTTTCCACCACCCTTTACTTTCATGTGCCGTGCCCGCACATGCCATGCCATGCCACATCAAATCTCATTATAAAATTTTCTTTTTTTGATATCAAATATATTTTTATAATCTAAGTGGGACAATTCATATCTCCTTTTTCATATTAGGAATGTCTTGTTCTAATAGCTTATCGAACTCGCACCGATAAGGTAGATAATGGATCCAAAAGTTCCTTTCATATTCAATATTTATTTTAATTTTTAATTGATTAAAGTAACTTTTATTAAGATTATAAACAATATTATTTTATTTTTAAATATTTAGGGTTTGTAAAAAAAGTTTTCTTTTGATGTATTTATTCTTTATAAACTTTAAGATTATATTAAATACTTTTTTATCAATTATTACGTACTTTTAATTTTTTTTAAATAATTACAAATATATTTTTTCATGAAATTTTAAGTAAATTATAACTCGAACAGCATTACATTAATATATTATTTAAGTGAACTTTAATTTGTATAAAAAGTAATAGGTGAGATAATTATTATTTTTTATTTAATTTTTTATTAATCAATATAATTTGTTCAATTAAAAAAAATTATGAAAAAAAATCTAATTAAAAATAATCATGATTAAGTAAATTTATAAAATTATAAGAATTTTATAAAATATAATGAAAATCTATTTGTTCATATTCATATTTATAAAATATTTTTTTAAAGTCAAATTATTAGTAATTTTCTGTAGGATGCAAAAATGTTCTATTTTTTATGGTAAAATTTATAAAATTTTAAAAGATAGAAAAACAAACTTATTTTTATTATAATAATAAACAAATATTTCATATTCTCGTATTGCCATTATTATAAAAAGAAAAAATTAACATTTTATTAAAATATTTAAAATTAAATTGATACAAATATTATAAGTGATGAAATTTAATATTTTTATTGATTTGTATCCTTTAAACACAAATGTTTAATATATAGAAATAGTATTTTGTTAGATATGATTAGTTTTTAAATCTTAAATTTGTATCTTTATTAAATCTATAATATTAATAATCTTGAATTATTTATATATATATATATATATATATATATATATATATTGATAATTAAATTTCACCAAACAATCTATTAACCAATATTGTTAATATTGATATATATTGTATATATTGAAAAAAGTCTTCGTTGAACTTTTTTCCTAAAATAATATTATTATATTATATATACAGTAACCTCGATGAAATTATTTATTTAATTGAATATCTCATAAAATTATTTACTTAACTCGAACCTTTTTTACTGTTGTAATTGGAATTTGGTTTATCGTAAACTGAATTCCAACTTTAAATTTATCACTTTTTTAAAATAAAAAATTAAATAAAATATATAATTAAAAATAATAAAATTAATATTAAAAATAGAATTTTAATTTTAAAATTTAAATAATATTTATATAAAAATTAAAAAAATAATATATTATTTAAATATATATTAAATTATTTAAATATATTTAAATAATTATTAAAAATATTAAATAATAATTTTTTATTATATTTTTTTTATTTTTGAATAGGAAATTTAAAATTTATATTTTTTTATTATATGAATTATTTAAGTTATAATTTAAAAAAATTGATAAATTTAATATATAAAATATTAAAAGTAAAATTAAAAATAAGTTATTAGTAGTAAAATAAAAATTATAGAACATGATATTAAAGAAAAATAATAAAGGTATACATACTTTTATAGAGTGAAAATAATAGAGGTTTATGAAGAAGAAAATCCTCCATCAATTTCTCCCGAAATTCAAGAACCACCACACCGACGAAATCCAAAACGTAATAGACGTCGTCCTCATTGTGGAACCGAACACCACTTTTAAGATTAAAATTTTCTTAACATTATTGTCAATAAATTTATTTTTCAATTTTTGTTATCAATGATTATGTTATTTTTAATATTATACATTAAATTCTGTCAATTTTTATTATTTTTTATTTTTAAGTTTATTTATATTAATAATAATAATTTTAACTAATTAACTAATATTTTTACTTTATTATTTAAAAAAATTAATTTTAGCATGAATTTTTTAATATAATATTTATAATTTATCAAATAAAAACTATTACATAAATTTTTATAATATAATATTTAATTTTTAATATATTACTTAAATTAAATTTTTATTTATTCTATTTTTTTCTAAAATTATAACTTAAATAATTCATATAATAAAAAAAATATAAATTTTAAATTTCCTATTCAAAAATAAAAATATATATATATAAAAAATATAATAAAAAATTATTATTTAATATTTTTTAATAATTATTTAAATATATTTAAATAATATATTATTTTTATTATTTTTTATATAAATATTATTTAAATTTTAAAATTAAATTTTATTTTTAATATTATTTTTATTATTTTTAATTATATATTTTATTAAAAAAAATTTTTTAAAAGGAAGTGGTAAGTTTAAAGTTTGAATTCGATTTACTGAAAACTTAATTCCAAGTACAACAAGTAAAAGAGGTTCAGTTAAGTAAATAATTTTATGAGAGGTTTAATTAAATAAATAATTTCATAAGAGGTTTTATTACGTATATATATAATATAATAATATTATTTTAGTATAAAAGTCTTCGTATTTGTTTATATATTTACAATTTTGTTATTTTACTCTTTCATATTTATTAATAATATATTATTTGACACCTAAAATTAATGGTTAAAATTAATAAGATACTAACATTGTTTATATAGGGATTGATTATTTTAACTACTCGATATCAATAGTAGATATTTTTGGGAACTAAGAGGGTCATGACCTTTCATATTTACTTATATATTTATAATTTTGTCCTCCTACTCTTTCACTTTCTTTTATCCTTTCATGTTTATTTATTAATAATATATTATTCGACTTCCAAAATTAATGGTTAAGATCTGTTGGAGATAATATCAATATTTATCATTGTCTATTGATATTTTTAGGTAGTTTTTGAGAATCTCGAAATGAATTAATAACCAAATATATTGAGTATTTAGATATTGTCAAAATATCCCGTCTAAATATCTCAATAATTATAATATTTAGTTGTTTTGAGATTGATTATATATATATATATATATATATATATATATAAAAGATTAAAAATTATTTATCTCAAATTTCATGATTAAAAATATAATTAAAATAATTAAGTACAAAACATAGAACTAAATAAATGGTTTGTTTAAGAATTACAATTTTAAACTTTTTTTATTTTCTTTTTCTATTCAACAATCTAAAAAATAATCTCATGAGTTATTTTTATCTTCTTTTATTTCTTAAACCAAATGCTCTTAGTCATTACCCATTTTTTTATTCTTATTAATGACGAAAAATTTTCTAGTTATTTATAATATAATATTTATTTCATGTAACATTTCTATTTCGAAATTGTTTTAAAAATGGAACCACGAAAAAATAGTTATAAAAAAAGAATGATGGAGAATATTACTAAGCTTCCTAGTAAGAGAAAAAAAGAAAGAAAAAAAAGAGCATTTTCGGGTGCCCGACCCGTACATGTCAAACCGTACATACGGAGACGGGTAATCTCATTCCGTTCTCTTAAGCCCTAAAACCCTACAACAAGTTAGTTCAAGAACAACTCGCTACACAGTGGAAGGATTCCTCTTCAACCCTTTGTCTACAAGGTCTGCAACACGCATCTTATTCTTTCCTCAACCTCCATTCTGTATCTGTTTCCTTTCTAATTATTTTTGTTTGTTTGTTGTTTTTATTTGCATCTAGTTTAGGATTTTTCAAGCTTTTTTGCTCGTCGAAGGACCCAACGTTTGGATCACAGATTCATACTAGTTTCCCTCACCTAATAACAGATTGACAACTGTCGATTTTAAATTTCCTTACGTGTTTAGCTATTTTGATCCTATCGCTACTTATTGTGCAATTTCTTCATGCTGGTTAAATCTGCATTACTTAGTATACTCTTTGATGCTTAATGGATCTGTATAATGGCTCGCAGATGAATTTCAAAAACGTGAATGTACCTAAGGTTCCTGGGGGCGGAATCGCTGCTTTGCTCAAAGTTGGCATTATTGGCGGGCTTGCTGTTTATGGGGCTGCAAACAGCTTGTACAATGTCGAGGGAGGTCATCGAGCCATTGTATTCAATCGCATTGTTGGTGTCAAAGATAAGGTTATTGCATGATTGCATTGCCCATGGCTGTTTAATGAATGAGTTTTTGTAATGCAACTAATTGCAACTTTCAAAGCTTTTTTGCGTCATCCTTAGTTGATGTCTGTACTCAAATGAAAGTCTTCTATTCCAAAGTTCAGATATGGTGTCAATTGTTAACACTGGAAATGAACTTAGAAGCAATTGCTTGTCCTTCTTGGGGTTTTGTGATGGCCTTCACCTAGAAAATACATTATCCATGATTGATATAGCTAAATATTTATATTAAGATTCAATTAATGTTGTTGTTGATGAATGTAAGTATTTTGCTAAGTTGGTCCTCAGGCATAAGTTTTCCTAGGTTAAGTTGACCTGCTTATATGAAGACTTTTTTATCTTTTGCAAACAAGATAATTCTTCTCCGAAGTAAGGTATACAATTTTGTTGAAACTCTTTGATTTTATCATATTCTTGTGTTTAGGTTTTCATCTCATTCAATAACACTTCTACTGCAAAAAGGTTTCAGTATTGCCATTCAATAATCTTATCGCCAATTATGTACAGTGTCTATATTTGTATATTCTTGAGGTCTTTGTATTTAGACAGTTAAACACTCAATGTGTGTTTATTGTATCCTAATTTGAAGAGATAATCATTTATCTTGTCTTTCTTCAAAAATATTTCAAACCCTAAACCCAAAATAATCACTTCCCAAACAAACAGGTAGACCTATGTTGCATAGTAATCTTATTGCAATTAACTTATCAATATAGTACACCTCTTGAATGCAGGTGTATCCTGAAGGGACACATGTTATGGTTCCTTGGTTCGAGAGGCCTGTGATCTATGACGTACGTGCACGACCTCATTTAGTAGAGAGTACTTCAGGGAGCCGTGATCTCCAAATGGTAAATTTTTGTTTGTCCCATTTCTTATTATTGGAGATATGATATTTCAGTATGCTTGAATTTGTGGTTGCAAGGAGTCAAACAGGTTTTTCAATATTCTTTTTCTATTCATTTTCTTTACAGCAACATGTTTTTTAGCTATGTATGAGGTAGAATTATCTTCCCTCACCTTGCCCTTTCCTGTCAAAATGAAAAAAATATTGGGGTAAAGCAAAAAGTAGGTTAGGGCCTTACCCTCCCAACTATTGAATTCTCTTCACCTTTTCCTTTAATTTATTGAAGCTCTTGTGCTGGTGCTCATTTCTGTAATGCTATGGCCTGATTGTGTGAAAATCGTTCCTCCTTCCATGTGTTGTTGTGTGTTGGCATTAAGTGTTTATGTTATTCATTGCTATCAGATACCGTATCATTTCCTCATTTTCTTAAATGTTTGAAAGCTTAGCTGAGTTTCTTAAAATTTTAACCCATTTCCCCTTTGCACGTTTTGTACTTTGCTTAGTTCCATTATATTTGAACTATTACACTATGTGGCCATGATATTCTAGATTTATGGTAGAAGAGTTGACACCGATTTGTAAGGATCATCTAAATATATAGTCAGTGTTTGCTCTATTGACGTATGTACAGTTAATTCAGTTTTTCTATCCCTGTATATTTTTTTTGACACGGCATACTTCATAGCAATTTGTACTACAATTAATTATGGATCTATGCTTGTGGTAGGTGAAAATTGGGCTTAGAGTCCTTACCCGACCTCTTCCAGACCAATTACCGACAATTTATCGAACCCTGGGTGAAAATTATAATGAAAGGGTGCTGCCTTCTATTATTCATGAAACTCTCAAAGCTGTGGTTGCACAGTATAATGCCAGTCAGCTCATTACTCAGAGAGAGGTAAATATGTTTATAGATTTTCCCATTTTGTAACTATAACTAATTGAATGCATGCTCTGCACTTCACAGTTGGAGTTTGTATTGTATTCTTAGGAATTGAGTAAATTCACTCTTGCAAATGAAATTACAATCTTAAAGGTGGAACTGATTGTTTCTAGAACATTCTGTTTTACAGACTGTTAGTCGAGAAATAAGGAAGATATTGACTGAGAGGGCCTCCCATTTTAACATTGCTTTGGATGATGTGTCAATCACTAGTTTGTCATTTGGGAAGGAATTTACAGCTGCCATTGAAGCCAAGCAGGTTGCTGCTCAAGAAGCTGAGAGGGCTAAATTTGTTGTAGAAAAAGCCGAACAAGACAAAAGAAGTGCTGTTATTAGAGCCCAGGTAAAGTTAGATGTCCCATTTTACATTTCAGTTGATTCTTAATATTTCTACAAGTGGCTTCCATATTTTTATAGTTTCTGAATTTCTAACAAACCATAACCGTACAAATTAAAAAGAAAATTGATGTTGTAAATGTTACTTGTAAGTTTTGCATCAACACTAAGAAATATTAATATAGTTTTTTTTTTCTACTCCCTTCTACCTTCCCCTTCCCCATTTTGATTTTCTTTATCTTGAATGGCCCTATCTGATGAAACTGTTTATACGTGAAGGAAATTAAATCTGGCTCTTAGAAGTATGTCCTTTCCAGTGCTAGAGGGAGGTGAGGGGCCAAGGCCCCCCAAAGTTTTATAACTTATATGTACATGTATGATTTTAGTCCCCAAAATTTAATAATCATTAAATATATATTTATATATTTATAAATTTAACCTCTTACTCTTTTATATTCTTCTATCTTTTTTATTTTCATTTATTATTTATTAATAATATATTATTTAGTCTTCTAATATCATTAATCAAGATCCGTGATTTTAATGTGATACTTTAGTACTTTTTTCTACAAAAGACTACAGAGGACTGCTTTTATAACTCTATTGTTCACGTATATAAGTTGTTCCTTCCCTTTGTGACAAACAGGGTGAAGCCAAGAGTGCCCAGTTGATTGGTCAAGCTATAGCCAACAATCCTGCATTTATCACCTTAAGGAAAATTGAAGCTGCAAGGGAAATTGCTCAAACGATTGCAAATTCTGCCAACAAGGTTTACTTGAATTCTGACGATCTCTTACTCAATCTCCAGGAGTTCAATTTGGAGCCCAGTGGGAAGAGATAGTCGTGAGGCTCACTTAATTACTTCAACATCTTTCCTTGAATGATCATTCATTTTCACCTGCATTTGCGTTTTATCAACTGTTAAAATATGAGATTCAGTGTCACAAACTGAAATGTTGACAAGCTGATTGTCATTTAAATTAAATAGAGCATGTGAGATAAAGGAGGTTCAATCAGGTTTTATCCGTTTTCTGTGGTTCTGATATTGAATAGTCAAGGATTTGATATTGATTTTGGTGTGGCTCAGTGAGTCAGTTTTTATCTTCAACTGTTGACTTGATTTTGACACTATACCTCCATAAGTTGCATACTTGCTGTAATAATGGTGCTATATACCCTCTCGAAATAAAATTATTCTAAATTTTGTTGAAGATGTAACTTGGATTACTTGTGGAACAAACGATGAGAACGAACCAAAAAAAAATCCAAGCAAACGTAGATATTTCTTGACCGTCGAACTCTTTTAAGTCTGTTATTTCAGTTTGCAGTGTAAAGTATGTGGGCTGTTTACTTGCCTAATGTCGAGAACGTAATTTGATAATTAATTTGTCATATACTTGAGAACGATTTAGTTAAAGATACCCTAATGTTATTTTTAAACATTTTAAATTATTCTACGTATGGGTATAGAGGGAGATTTGGAATTTCTTTTAAAATGACACGTCGGTGAGATAATCTTAAATGTCACTCCTTATTTGTACATATAGCGTGGCATTTTTATTTTATTTTTGACCTTTTTAAAGTGAAAATTATTCATCTATTTTAAAGTTAGGGTTATAAACAAAAATAGTAATTTGTATCCTTTCTCCATGGCTGATAACTTAATAGCCTTGTGTTTTATTGGAAGATCCACTTCTTAAAATGACATTTCAGTATTTTATTATTCCTTTGTAAATAATTTTTCATTAATTAAAATTCTCTTGGATCTTGCTAGGTTGAGAATAATAATCGTCTATTTAATGGATATTATATGAATTTTATCCATGAATAGAATTACTGTAATAAAACATATCTCGTTACTGCTTTGTGATTAAATGAATTTTATCCTTTATATTTCAAAATTTATTTAAAACAAAGGAAAATAGTATTTAAATAGAAAATTTATCAAAGTTTTAATTCAATATATATCCTTTAGTACTTTATAGATTATTTTAAATTAGAAAACATGCAGCAAATACATTGAGTTATTTAAAATACATATGACTCAATTACAATAATATAATTTTTGTCTTGCCAACTTTATTTATTCAAACTTAGTCTCTATTTCTTTAATTAATTGTTATAATTAGATTTTCTCAGAATTTCTAGATTCTTTATTTTCAAGTCTTTTAAGTTAAATAATTAAATTGGTTTAACTATTCACTTAAAATTATCACCAAAATCTTCTTATTTCTTCTCTCCAAGGGAAACCTATACAATGTTCCGAAATGTATCCGTCGTAGCTTCAATGGCAAAAGTTTCATGTTGTGGTGTTTAGTTAACGATTATTGTTGATGCAGAGTTGTTGAATTGAATCCCACTGGGATCGGAATAGCTTCCTTTGAAATTGAGAGTAGAAAATGTGTGAAGGTGGTGGAGGGATGATGGAGATGTTCTTCAGTAGTGGCCACGTTCTTCAACCATCTCAAAACCCTTCCAATCTACTCCTTCTTTCTGGCCCTCCTTCTTCGTTCGTATTTCCTCACTTCCTATCTCTAATCTCTTGTTCAGTTGACGATGAATGAATGAATGAATGTTACGTTAATTAATGTTCAGTGGGAAGACTTCTCTGCTTTTCCAATTTGCATTCAATGTAGCACTCCACTCCCATAAGGTCATCTTCATTTCCAATCGCCAAAGATTCGATTCCAAACCCCCTTTTCTTTCTCAGGTCAGATATCTCTCTCCTGTTACACTTTTTTCCTTTTGATTTCTCCTAATTTAACTTCCTCTTTTCTGAATTTCAGGGTATTGATCCATCCTCTCAAGTCTTCCACCGTATACAAATGAAGTATCTTTCCTAATTCTACTTTTCTAATTAATGCCCCATTTTATTTCTATTATCTCAATATCTCATACTCAATTTTGTTGACTGTTTGTTCGAGGTACGTGAATGATGATGAAGACATCAGGAAGTACTTTGCTGCCTTCCACCTGTATGATACATTGCCTGCAGCCGTTCTTATTGATGATTTTGGTGATTTCTTTGACAACAAGTAATTTTCCCTCTTTCCACCATACACAGCATACCCTTTGAAAACCCCTTTTTTGGATTTTGATTCCGTTCCCTTCGAAAAGGATCTGCCAACAACGATATTGTAATCCCCGTGGACGAGACATGGCCATGGTCAAGACTCTAGCCGTATGCCACAATGCAATTACTTTTGCAAAGTGAGTATCCATCGCTGTTGTTGACAATTTGAATGAATTTACTGCATGCAACTCAACCCAACTCATTATCAGCCTGTTTAACTTGTGCATCACATTGTGATGATTATGATAATGAATAGGGTTTCTTTCTATATTCTGTGCAGTCAAAAAGGGTCTTGCAAGCTTCTCTTGTCTGATACACATACTCACCAGAGAGACGCCCCAAGGTTTCACTTCATCTATAAGAAATGGATACAAACCACTTTTACCATTAAAGGTTAGCCTAGCTGCCTCCCATGCCAAGCCTTCTAAAACAACTAATAATTGATGTGCTTTTTCTTGTTATGGTATTGCAGAAGGGGATGTGTCTGGATCATTTATTCTGAAAGATAGGAGTCATTCACCAACTGATGATCACACAGCTACGATCAAAGCTGCAAAGTACTCCATAGCTCTTCAATGTCTGGTTTTAGAAGGAATTGTTGAAGATCAAGTCTAATATAGTTACTCTCCCCCAGTTAGAACCGATAGATACCTGTGTAACATTTAACAATTATAAACTGAACTTCGGTGCCTGCATCTTCATCACCAAAGTCAAATCTTGGTTTCTGTGACATCAGTTAATTATGAAGAGTAGAAAACCTGACCAGGTATCCTTGCTGCAAGTGTCTACTTTTTGGAAACATTCAACAAAAATATTTGTGGACCCTCAAATCTATTTGATGTCCAAAAAGAAAAAGAAATAGAAAGAGAGTAGGACTGATAGGTGATAGGTGATATGTAATATAAAGAATTATAAACACAATGGAAATTTTCCTGTAAGCACCGGACCTTTTAGCAAATGAGGATCTACGTTCTTCCACCCTTAACTTCTATACACAACCCATCCTTCCATGTGTTCTCAAATTTAAGAATAGTCAAGGACTTAATGTTTAACCATGTTTCATAAAATTTTGTATGAACTATCTCCTATTGGTTAAAGTTAACCAAACACAGTTCATAAATTATAAACACAGTTTAGAAGACTTGCACAATCTATTAGCTGAGAACACATCCTAATAATTGCATGGTTGTGTATGAACCTTAAGAACTCTCACCCACATAGATATGAAAACATTCCTAAACTAATAATTACGTTGTTGTGCATGTACCTTGAGAGTTCTCAACCACATAGTTTAATATGTTCATTGAGGCGATGTGGATCTTCCCTTCCACTACAGTGTATTGCCTCTTTTTAAACCAGAGTTTCAAAACTTATCCACGTAAATATAAAGATAACTCTAAGACAGTTCAAATGAGATCCAATAGGTAATATTGTATTTAAATACAATAACCAACTTAGTTCAATTTTACTCGGTTTAATTATTAATTTTCAATCTAAGATTCCAACTAAACGGTGTGATTTAAGAAAATTAGATTAAAAATCCAATAAAATTTTATATTTAATAAAAATATATAATTAATTAAAAAATATATCTGAAAATACAAAAACAATTTAATAGAAAATCATTCTAAAAATAAAAGAGAATATATTAAAAATATTTAACAAAGTTCAACAAAGTTATAACTTAAATTCAACTATACATAATTTATTAATATGATTATATTTAAAACTTAAAAATAATTTTGAATTTAAATCAGAGGGTTTTTAATTCGGATCAACGCATTTCAGTTATATGAATGTAATATAATTATAATATGTTCAAAGAAATTAAGCTTTGGAGTCTAAAATTAAAACACAAATATTTATTATATACTACACCTTGTCACCACGGAGTTAATTAAATACAATTCTAATAAAATATAGTTGAAAGATAATGACATTAAATTAAAAATTGATCACGATTGAATAATATATAAATTTCAATATCAACAAGTATGAGATTTCTACACATTACATGTCTAATAAAAATTATAAAATGACATTGCCAAATAAAACTAATTAGTTGAGAACTGAAATTTATTCTTTTTATAGACAATAATTTTCATTTATGATTATTTTTCATTATTAGAACCGATTCTAATGGTTCTAACTAGAAAAATTTATTCATCAATTCAGTTCTAGAACCAGATTTTATTAAAAAATTGTTTAAAATTCATTAAAAATTTTGCATAATATATGATAATAATTTATATAATTTTAATCTAGCATTGTGGTGATTGATAATTATTTTAATTTTATTTTTAGTTGTAATTATTAATAGTTCTACAATGTATTATTGAATTTAAATATTATTTGATAAAAAATTAAGTATTGAAACATTACTTTCAGTGGTTTAATCATTGAGCTCCTAAATAAACAAAGATAATAGTAAAATGATAATACTAAATACGAAAATAATTTGATCACAAAAAAAAAATTGTGACAAGAAATATAGATATAAAGAAAATTGTGAATAAAAAAATTAACGAATAAAACGGAAAGGTCACCGCATGACACAGGATGAGTTCCTTGAAGAAAACGCATCCTCATAGGTTCAAGGTTCGGATTGAGGTTTGGTTTGGACTTTGAAAGAGAAGAAAAGAAAGATAATAAGCACTTGGCACTTGCTTAGCTTTACCCTCCATCACCCGCCACTACAAAAGTATACCCCCACTTCCTTGTTCCAACCTTTTTCCTTCCCTTTCTCTCTCAACTCAACTCGTTCCTAACTTGGACAAAATTCTCTTTTTATGTTCTTCTTTCTGCCTCCAAATCATCACTTACTTGCTATGCTATGATAGAGGAAGTGGATCAAATCACCCCACCATAAGAGAAATCAACGCAAACCCAAAGGAACATCAACCACAATCATATATGGTTAGTAGTAATACCACTCAATCAATGCAAGTATGAAATATCCAACCACCTCACACATATACAACTTATGGGGTTCTTTTTTCTTCTATTTTCAAATCCACCCCTCCTTTGATGATATTTTGTTTTTCTAACGTTTTTTTGAATCATCTACCAATTGACAATTTGGCTTCTTTTCTTGTTTCTGGGGCTGTGGAATCAGGGAGGTTTCAATGAAGAATATGGTGTTGTGGGGGGAAAGGAAGAAGAAAACAAGTGGCCTTCATGGCTGCAACCACTTCTCAAGACAAGCTTTTTTGTTCAATGCAAAGTCCACGCAGATTCCCACAAGAGTGAATGCAATATGTATTGCTTGGACTGTGTGAATGGAGCTCTTTGCTCTGCATGTCTTGCTTCCCACAAAGAACACAGAACTATTCAGGTACCGTGTTTAACAGAAAAAAAAAAAAAAAACTTGTGTTTTGAAGTTGATCATGGGTCAATTTGATCAATTTTTGTTGGGATTTGCATCCAATAGTCTAAATTCAAGGATTTTGGTGTCTTTAATCTGATTTTGTAGTTTGTTCCTACATTTTACAATTTTGGATCCAATCCCTTTTGATGGGTTAAAAAAATCTGTCTCTTTGTATTGGTATTATCGGTTGCACGTGCCATTTAATGCGATTTTATGTTTCATGGAAAATTTGTTTATCACTCAATTATATGGTCCATTGGTTCTGCTTAGATAGATAACTGTATTTATTTCACGAACTTAAGCTAGAAAAAATAATGTGGTTATCATCATCTGATGAAGATTTTTTCTTATTTTCTTTCAATTTCATTAATTTCCAAAGATAAGGAGGTCTTCATACCATGATGTGATAAGGGTGTCCGAGATACAGAAATTCCTGGACATAACAGGAGTCCAAACTTACATCATTAACAGTGCCAAGATTGTGTTCTTGAATGAAAGGCCCCAACCTAGGCCTGGAAAAGGGGTCACCAATACTTGCCAAGTCTGTGACCGCAGCCTCCTTGATTCCTTCAGTTTCTGCTCTCTTGGGTGTAAGGTAAACATATATATATATATATATATATATATATATATATATATATATATATATATATATATATATATATATATATATATATATATATATATATATATATATATATATATACACACAAACCCAAGTTTTCATCTGTTAAAATGGAACTTCAAGTCTTTGAATTGCATTAGTTGGAATGAAATATTTCTTCTAGAAATGTTGTTTGTAAAGTAATATAACCTTTGTAATTGTAACTACCTCCTACTTTTTTTGCTGTGTAAAGTATGTAACATTATGGTTGTACTTTTTATGGTTGTTTTGAAAAAGTAAGAAAAATGATGATGAGAACAGGTGGATGCGAAAGAATGATCCCTTCAAATTTTGAATTTTGTTCTCAGATTGTTGGAACCTCCAAGAAGTTCCTGAAGAAGAAAATGTTAGGTGAGACAGATGGATCGGATGGTGAAGAATCAGTGAATGGCACAAGCAATGCAAGTGGTAGAACCAAAATCCATAGCTTTACACCTTCAACACCACCACCAACAGTGGCTAATCACAGAACTGCCAAGAGAAGGAAAGGAATTCCACATAGAGCTCCAATGGGTGGAGGGCTCATCATAGAATACAATGTTGTATAGTGGTTTTGTGTCACTCACCAATCAAATGTTTATACCAAAAAGATCCAGCAGTTGTTACCACTTCCTTAAGTGGCAGCATCAGAAAAAATATGCTCCATATCTTACATAGTTGAAATACCTGTGCCCTGTGTTGGGAACTACTGCTCTATCTTGTATAGGACAAAAGAAAATAGGAAGAAAAAGTTATGTGTCAAAAAGCATGTAATAATATAACATAGAGTGGGAAGTACTTTATGTTGGTGTAAGAATGGCATTTGGGTGCTGGTATGTGATGCTAAATGTACATAGTGGCTTGTAGAAAGGAATTGTATAGACAATAAAAAAATATTATGAACTCATGATGGGTATTAATTATATTCTCTTGGTTTGGTTCATGGCCCTGTCCTTGTCCAGTTCAAAGTTGAAAGTGTATGCATGTATGCCTTGTTTGGCAGGTGGAGGAGTGGCTAACTTTAAAGTCAGAAACTTAATTGGCTTTTGCTTCTCTTTTAGTATGCTTTTTGAGTTTGGCTTCTTATGAAAACAGCATTCTGCTGAACTGTATTGCAACAATACCAAACACACCATATAAACTGCTGTCTCTTGCTTCACGGCTTCTCATTCTTAATTTTCAGATTTTGTCCAAATAAACTTATATATCACATTATTCATAAAGTGATTTACGATTTCACGTATATATTTAAAATAATTATATTGATTTAATGATAAAGGGATCTTCACAAATTCTCCTTAAATGATAAATTAATTCACACCAGTTTAATGGTATGTTTTATCTATAAAATAGCTCAAACAACATAAATTTCCGAAATTTGATTGAACAGTTGAAGTGAAGTATCAATCCAATGACTTTTTGTTGCTCACTAAGAGCAAATAAGTTCAATACCTCTATGCTAAAACCATTGTGGCCAAAGCCAAACTCATTTGTTTCTTTATGATTATTATTGACAGTAAATTGTCCTTCACTACCTAATTTTCTTACTATTAAATATTTGTGACGGTTGTTTTAAAACATGGTTGTACCATGATGTCTTGATTGAATTTTTATTAAATAAAGTTTTTTTTTAATTTATTTATCCCGAAATATTAATATTGTTATTTGAAAAGGATGTCCAAGTTTCTTTCCCATGAGTTCAGTAGGTACAGGCAAAGCAGGAGAGATATTTTCAAAATATTATGTGATGCTTAAGTAAGTATACAGAAAGTTAAAATATGAACGAGTAACGTAAATGAAATACTAAATTAATTTATATTATCATAACTATTTGTGATATGTGGACTATTATACCTCTGTTTGTTTGTTAGGGGATATTTTGGGATAGTTTTTTAATATCTTAGAATGAATTGGTTCTCGACAGTGTTATTGAGATATTCAATATAAAAATCTTGACAATTGTGGTATTTATTTGGAACTAGATAGATATAATTAGAAGATTCTAAATTGTCTATAAAATCCTTTATATTGTTAGAAGTTATTGTTGGATTTTGTACAAGAATTAATATCATAAAAATATTCATAGATAAGACTACCAATCTATCATAAAATAAAATAAATTTATATTATAACTTCTCATCTAAAATCTTAATTGACACTCCCATTTGAATAAAAAACTACTTTTCATCGTTAATTCCAGTACCAATATATACTTTTTAATGAGACAAAAGATAATAAGACTAAAATCAATCATGTAAAAAACAACCATGACTTGAATATAAAACTTTAAAACATTGATTTTGTAAATCTCTTTTACTTCCATTAATTATTTTTTTTATTTTTATTTATTATGAGATTTTAACTTACTTATATTTAAGCCATCATGACTTACACTCTCATTACATAACTTTTTACATATTACTTGATTTTTTATGAGTAGACTAAATTATGTTAATTGATATAATTCTTAAGGATGAAAGTTTTTAATAAAAAAATTCAAATTTTATATATTCTTGACTTCTTCTTTTTTTAAGTTTTTTAAATGATTTTTAATAAGCTATAAAAATCCTTTAATAGGGATTATAAAATGAATTAAGTCTAACGGATCAACCTGTGTAAAAAAATAACAAAGTAGGTTGATAATTTTAATTCTTCCTATCTAGCTCGTCAACCTAACAGGTCAAGGGTGAGATTAATTGACCCGTTGGTTTGATTAAAAAAATATTTATATATTAAAATAAAATTTTAAAATATTATATTTTTTATCAAATATACTATGATATTATTATTTAAATTATAAATATTAATTAATTAAATTTAAATTATTTATTATATTTAGTTATTTTAACATATAAATATAATATTTTTTATTTATCTAATAAAAATATAAATTAATAAATATATTACTTAAAAATTATTCCTATAATTAAAAATATATTTTTAAAAAATTATATATAAAATAATTTCATATAAAAAAATATTAACAAACTAATTTGCTAATTCATTAACTCACACTTAAATAAAAGAATATATATAGTTCATCCTAACTATACGGGCCAAACTCATCCCATTTTAACATCATAAAAGGGATGGAGTTAACAAGTTCAGTTATATAAAAAAATGAGTGTGATTAACATACTTACACACTTGGAGTAAAAAAAAGAAGAAGAATTTAAAAGTATAACTTTACAACAAGTTAAAAATTGTAATTAAAATAAGTAAGTCCAATAATAGTTTTAAAAACCAGTTTGAACCGATCTGTGTTCAATAATCAAAAAGTTGTTTAGGGACCCAATGTTTGAGGGAAAAAAAAATACACCTTTTGTAAGTTATCAAATAGTGATGCCAAATTGCATAAGAAAAGTCTATCAAACCATGCAATATAATAAGGGCATGTTAATTAGAACTCGTTATTAAATAACGTCATTCAACTTACATTCTTAAAAAAAAATTTCACTTGCTATTCACCCATTTTTACCGAGCATAACCTATTTATATTTATCTACATTGGTTCACATCTTCAATATTTGAATATCATTTATTTTATTGTATATATTTGATATATTTATATTTTTTATATTACCACTTTAAAAAATACGAGAGAGATATGAGTAAGCGTACAATAACTAATCAACATTGGAAGGTGAATGTGATGGAGATGTTGACATCAAACGCGTCGTTTTATATCGGTTGAAAATCTAACCGGTAACTGAAACTCACGATAGCATCCTTGTCCTCCTCACATCTACGTCTAATGTTACCCCAACCCCACGTACATGTCGATGCTGCCTCGTGTTCAATTTCTTTTTTCTTATTAATTTTACAATATTATACGCATTAATATCACATTCGATACTCCATGTTATTATTTATCGATGAAAATATAAAAATATAATAACTTCTTATTCTATATAATTTAACAGAAGTACGTTAAATATAACTATATACAAAAAAATTCATTTTATAACTATTTTTTGTGTCATTAAAAAAAATATAGTTACAAAACATTATAAATTATATATTAAAAAATAATAAAATATGAGAAAATTAAAAAAATGAAAAAATATATATTTAAAGAGTAACAAGAAAAAAAGAAAAGAATATTTTAAAATAAATTAACTATAAAAAAATGGATATCACACATTTTAATATATGTGTTTTCATTAGTAGAAATAAAAAAAATATTATGTACCTAAGATGATAAAATTAAATACTTATTGTAAATTCAATTATTAATTGAATTTAGATGTTGACTTAAGTGTCTTATTTTTAAGAATATTTCACAATTATTTGTCTCATTTTATAATATTAATTTCCAATTGTCTCATTATTAACTATTATTATTTAATATAAATAAAACTTTAGTTACTTAGTATATTTTTAAAGTTGGGTTACACATACCAAAGATAAATATTAATTTTTATTATTTTCAATAAATTTATTTTTTCATTAATATCTTTACCATCTCAATATTTTCTCTCTAACCAAAGTATTTTTAAGTAATTTGTTATCTTCTTTTTTCTTTAATGAATATAATTAAAAGAGAAAGGTATTATTGGTAAAAGAATAGTTAATACAGTTATAAACTTTATAAAAGATGTATGGTTAGAATATTTTTTTTATCTAAAATGTCATATATTTTGAAAATAGATAGTACTTAATAATAAATGTTATAAATTAAAAAAAATAATTATCTTTTTTTACTATTAGAGAAAACAATTATAAACATTAAGTATGTGAAAAATAGTTAAGTAAGAAAGTAAAAAAACTTTAAAAGATTAATACAAGTATTTAGAAGGTGAGTGTTTTTAAAGCCTTATTTAGTGTGAAAAGTACATGAGTGTTGCTGAGCGCTTATAGTTTCCAATTAATTTCTACCACGTGCCCCCAATTATTGCATATTCCTTTGTTTGCTCAGCCATAAATTAATTTCTTAATGAATCAAAACCCTATTTGCGCCGTACTTATTTGAAAGCAAAATAAAACATCAATAATAATCAAGAATATGATGCTGTTCGTGTATCATTGAATTTCTCTATTATGTTATTATTTTTGAAAAAATTAAATTAGTTTTATATATTACCCTTTATAAAAAATATTTAATTTAATTTTACTTTTCCATATAAAGATAAAAATGTTATAGTTATTATAATTAATTCTTATATCTAAATTATTGTTCGTTTTAGAGATTATATTTATTACGATTTTGTATTTAAAGATTTTGTATTTAAAAATTGTATCGATAGTTTATGAATTAAAATTATGATAAACAATAACTTAATAATATTTAAAATATAAGAATTGGCTTTAACTATATTATTATAATATAAATTTAAAAAGTGTTAGTTGAATTATTCTGCATTTAATGATTATTTGTTAATTTCCGAGTAATTAAATAAACGGTCCAAGTATTGACCGAATAAAAGGGGTTGAGGGAGCTAGATATTAGAAATCCTAATAGTTAGGAAACTGCCCCTAAAGTCTTGGCAGTTTGAGGAAAACTGTTTCCGCATTCTACTTAATGTACATATGCTTTTGAAAATATGAGAATACAATTCTATAGATGGTA